TTCACTTAATAAGATGATGTACATCATCCATATGATGTTTATGGGTACATAATAGTCCATCTTGGAGAAATACTGTAATTTATTCAAACAGTCCCTATAATTAATCATACAAGTTGTTTTTAATATTTCACAATCATAAAAATCCCTGGGATTAATAACTTTGTAACTTTATTTACATTTATGATAAATTTCTTAGAACCCATTCTTAGGTTAAAAGCTATGCCAACTATTAAAGCTTTTTTATATCAGTTACCAAATTGAAAAGTTGTGCCATTTGTATAAGTAAGCCCTCCAAGAGTTTCTGAAAGTGGTTTTTCTCCGACAACTTTGGACATTTTCTTTTTTTTTTTCCCTAAAACTTTGTTTGCTTTTTTTTTTTTAAGATTTATTTATTTATACAAGAACCGGGGTACAGGCCTGATGCATGGGAGGGTGAAAGGACTCACCAGAGACAGAGCGGGGAACAGAACAGGCAGACTGATGAAACACACTGCTGAGGGGAGCAGCAGGCGAGACAGGAGAGGTCTTCTCGCCATGTGGGTTGCTCCAAGGCCGGCAGGGATTGAACCGGCGCTGCAGAGGCCCCGGACAGCTTCACAGCGCTGCGCCCAACTGCCTGCGCCACCAGGGAGGCCCTGGACATTTTCTTAATCCTTGCTGATTTGATAGGAAAATTGCAAAAAATAAAAGTTTATGTTTTCTTTGATTACAGATGAGGTTAATATTTTTAAAAATATATGTACATTAGGCATTTATAGTTCTCATTTAAATTTCCTGTTCATTTCTCGTGCTCAGAAAGTTGAGTTATATATGTTTTTCTCATTAGTTTGCAAAAGTGCTTTATATATTCAGGGGACAGGAGGTCCATAGGAAAGGGTGAATCTGAGTTGTATTTGAAGGTTTAATAAGATTTCACCAGGTGGGCTACAGGTTAGGAGGATATCCCAGGTAGAGGAACAGCATGTTATATAAGACAGCAGAATATGACCCTGTAGAGCCGGAGTAGGGTTTTGACCACGAAGGGCTCAAGAAGAGGAGTTTGGGCTGTACACTTCAAGTGAGTGGGGGATTGCTGGGTTTTGAACAGGGCAGGAACATGATCAAATTTGCTGTTTGTCTGCTATGGAAATAGAGTATTGGTGAAGATGGGAAGTAGGAGGAGTGGGGACATTTAAGGGTGTAGGAGGTGAGAAGCAGGAAGAGGAAGGAATCTGGTGTATTAACATCAGGAGAAGGTTGGATTTCAGGTTTCTGAGAGTGGAGATGTCGAGGAAACATATGCATCTGCAGCTGAGACATCTTCCTGGGGTATAAATAGAATTTGGGAGCAGGAGCAGAGTAGGGGTGACAGAAGTCTGGGGTCTACCAGTTTTTCCCATAATGTTATTATGAAAAAGTTCAAAATAGATCCAAGTGTAGAGTGAACACCCATATATTCACATCGAGCCCCTATCATTGCCTACACTTGTTTTGTGTCACACCTATTCATCTCTCTTCCATCTTATTTCTTGTTTTAGAGTTAATTGTAGACAACAGTATACTTCTCTTCAGCACTTCAGCATGCATATCATTAACTGGAGATCAATATTTAGTGAGATACACAAATCTTAAATGTATCCTTTTGATGACTTTTTTTTTTAAACTTTTTTTTTAATATTTATTTATTTATTTATACAAGCACTGGGTGCAGTCAGAAGCGTGGGAGGGTGAGAGAATTCACCAGAGCCAGAGCGGGGAGCAGAGCAGGCAGAAGGACCAAAGTACACTGCTGAGGGGAGCAGCGGGCGGCAGGAGAGGTCTGCGTGCCATGTGGGACCCTCCTCCAATGGCCAGGGAGCAGCCAGGGATCGAACCGGCGCTGCAGAGGCTGTGCGCAGCTTAGAAACCCAGCGCTCAACCACTGTGCCACCGGGGGAAGCCCCTTTTGATGACTTTTGATGAACACAGACACTTGTGTTGTGGCAAAAAGCGGAATATTTCTATTTCCCCAGAAAGTTCCCTGTGCCCCTTACTCCTGTCCCCACCCCCAGAAGCAGCCATTATGTTTTGTTGTGTTTTTTTCTAACCGCAGGAAAGTTTTGTCTGTTCTAGAAATTCATATAAGTGGAGACACTCAAGATGTGCTATTTTGTGCCTGGCTTTTTTTGTGTCTTCTTTTACTTAGTGTAATGTCTGTCAGAACCTTTTTTAAAAAAAATATTTATTTATGCATACAAGAACTGGGGTACAGGCCAGAGATGTGGGGGGTGAGAGGATTCACCAGAGACAGAGTGGGGAGCAGAACAGGCAGATTGACTGAAATACACTGCTGAGGGGAGCAGTGGGTGAGCCAGGAGAGGTCTGCTGCGCCATGTGGGTAGCTCCCTGGCCGGGCATGGAACTCTTGCTGCAGTGGCTGCAGATAGCTTCATAGTTTATGTCTTAACCCCTTGCGCCACCAGGAAGGCCCCTATCAGAACCTTTTTTGTTGTTTCTGTGGTGTCAGCATTTTGTCCCTTCTTTATTGTACAACAGTATTCTGTTGTAAGGATGTAAAAGGAATACCCATTTTTAATTGGGGAGGGGGGAGGTGCAGAGACAAAGGATTGCACCAAAGAGATTTACAAGAAACAGTGAAGGCAATAGGAAATGCACCCAACCAGAATGTCAAGGAAAAGCAGGTCAACTGCCTTTAGGTTTGACTGCATATAACAAAAACTAAGACAGTTATTTAAATAACATAGACTTTTTTGTTAATCTCATGTAAAAGAAGTCCTGAGGTAGCTAGTCCTGGAGATGGTATGGTAGCTTATTGTACCTTTACTGACCCAGGCTTCTAGCTTCTGCTCAGCCATTTTCAATATAGGCTTTTAGCCACAAGGTTATTTTTTGTGGCTAATGGTTCAATATAGCTGCTGGAGCGCCAGCCTTCCTATCTGCTTTTGCAAGTGACAACAGATGAAGGAAGAATGGAGAAACCTTCCCACCCACAAAAGTGTATCTTCCAGTTAAAACTATCTTTTAACAGCCTTCCTTAAAAGTTCCACACATCTCCATTTAACTAAATCTCATTAACTTAATCACATGGACCATCCCACTAGTTAAAATAGTCTTTTAAGCTAGCTGCTGGGCACACTGCAGCTCCCAATAGAATGAAGTTTCTGTTGGTAGAAAATGAATATTGACTGTCAATGGCTTCCTCTGCCTTCTTTCTTTTGAGACCTGATAGTCAACCATGGTCCACTCACTTTTCCTCTCTGTGTCCTTTCATAAATGGAGGCCTGTATTTGGCAGATTTCCATCCTTCTGAGTTCCCCAGCCTTGACCCAGGGCACTAATAGGACAGCCTAGGGGAGAGATGGCAGGTGTTAGATGATACCATGTTCTCTCCTTGTGCTTCTTCAAAGTAGGTCTCCCCAAACACCCAAGTCCACTTTCAGTGCCAGACTCGGGCAAATTAGAGGCTTCTGCTCCTCTGGGAGTTGGCTCTCCCTCTGCCAACCTCAGAATTAGGTCCTGTGCCTCCAGAGCATTTGGTCCTATTTCCCGGGTGCATGACAAACACGCGCTCAGTGGCACAGGTGGTTCTTCATGTGTATGTCGGCCGTGGGGAAAAAGAAACAGTCCATGTTCTCTGACAGCTTAATGGAGAAGAAGGCAGTAGGAGCAGGTGTAACAAGGCCCGGGGAAGCTCTCGGCTGCCAAAGGGCCAGATTGAACCGAGCATGGCCATGGCCTGCACCCTGGTGACCCGTTGACACCATTCTCAGGCTGCCAGCTGCCATGGGGCTGGTGTATTGTGACAGAGGAGGAGCCAGGGCCCCCTGCAGAGAACTTGGCTCAAGCCTCAGACCTGAGTGGGACAGAGCATTCCTCTGCTCATTCACTCTCTCCACACTCATTTCCTGAAGCCTGCTGCATGTCAGTCCACGGGTGCAGGACTGAGACACCCAGTTCCTGCCTCAGGAACTCAGGGACCAATGGGAGGATTGGTAGGGGCACTGGAAGGCCATATGCTGTAGAAGTTCTGAACTGGGACACCAAGGAGACCAACCCTGAGGAAGTGATATCTGAGCAGAAATAAGACAGGCCTAGTGTAGGGAGGGGGGCAGGGTAGTGGGAGTTTCCTCCTGCTACAGAGGAGGAGACTCCTGCTGGTGGGGTTTGACCCGGCATCTTTCTGAAGTGCTGCCCTGCACACCCATGGGCCCAGCCTACTGTCCCCAGAACTGGTGTCCATGCGTGGGCTCTGGAAACCACCCGGGTGGTGCTGGCAGCACCAACGGGGTTAACTTCGACTTCCTGTGGCCTTTTCTTTCCTATGTCTCTGAAGGAAGCCTGCATTGAAATTATAGAAATAAGGGCCTGCTTTTGAGGAGTCTGCTGTTCAACTGTGTCCCTGCCAGGCCTCGGGGCCGCCTCTCGCCCACGTTCTGCCAGCCTCAGGCTTTGATCTGTGTGGAGCCTTGTACTGAGGGGTGAGGGCTTCCTTGGATGCAGTTCCTCAACCCCCCACTCCGAAACCTGCTCTGGTTCCCTTGGAGAGATCTGGCTCTGTGTACAAATGGTACCCAAGGAGGAGGGGCTCAGGAAGTGACATCGTTTGGCCCGCCCCCACCTCCCTATTCCCTATAAAAAGCAAAATGGTGACTCAGAGAGGAGAGTTGGAAGCGTCCTGCCTCCTGCTCCCACTGTTAATTTTTAGACTTGGAATTGGGCAAGAGGCAAAGGAAGCAGCAGCTCGAAAGACGCGACTGACATGCTATTAAGCGGGTGGCAGCAGCAGAGCCTCTCCTCCCTGACTCCCAGCAGCCTGTGAACTGCAGCGCCCAGTGCCTGCTGGCACTTCCCAGCCACTCACGGGGCCCGGGCCCCCCCACAGCCCCCCCTGGCCCGGGTGGCCGTGGATGCTGTGGCCGGGGTCATGGCAGCTGGGGGCCGCCGCCGGCGCCCGCTGCGCTACCAGTCCCTGGCAGCCCTCGTGGAAGACTCTCAGTGGCCTTTCTTGTTCCTTGTCTCAGACTTCAGCTACGGGGCAGACGACTACGACGGAGAGGGGAATGAGGAGCAGAAGGGGCCCCCAGAGGGCTCAGAGACCATGCCATACATCGATGAGTCGCCTACCATGTCACCTCAGCTCAGTGCCCGGAGCCAGGGCGGTGGGGACAGCATCTCTCCCACCCCACAGGAGGGGCTGGCACCTGGGGTAGGTACACCTGCTTTTCCCTCCTGGGTTTGGGAGAGGGGGCTTTGTTGGAGATGGTGGGGTCTGTAGGGAGGCATGGCTGCCATGGGTCGGCTGTGCCTAAGAGGCTACTCAGGATGGGGAGATTGGGACCCGGCTGCTCATCATCTCATTCCCGGCCTGGGCTCCTCTCAGACTAGGCTCCCTCTCCCCCCACCTGCTGCTCTCTCTGCCTCCCTTACCAGCCATCTGCTTCCCCTGCCTCCTGGACACCCTCACCTCCTCATTCAGCTTTCCATTTCAGCCCCTCTCCAGCAGAATAGGGCTCGGGGAGGGAACAGGCTGTTCTCTTTAGGTCCAGGCTGGACAGTGGTGCATGTGACCTATGGACTGTCCAGGTGCAGGTGCAGCAAAGCCAAGGCTGACTGACCTGGTGCTCGTGGTGGGGTGGAGTGAGCTGCTTGTGTGGCATTCCCTGAGGGCCATGGCCCCATCTAGTCCTCTGTTGAGTCCATAAGAGAGTGAGCCCCGATAGTATCCATCTCTTCTCTTATCGACACACAGGATCTCTGCTGCAAAAGGAAGCATTTTACAAGGAATATTAAATATGTGCTCTGAGACAGGCCAGGGAGGTAGAAATGTGTGGCGGTTTGCAATCTTTGTAATTAATGCGGTTCCTGGCCACAGGGACGGCTCTGTCTGGACCCAGCTTGTGCGCGTGCTGGAACACATGAGCAGGCGAGACAGAAAGATTCCTAGGGCTGATCTCTGCAGTTCGGGAGAATCAAAGCCATTCCTGTTTTGGGGGCTTGGGGGACCTGGTTTTGCTTGGTAGAGGGCTTGTCCAACTGTGTTCTGTGGGGTCCCCTTTCTTCTTTCTAATACCCATGGAGAAGCAGCCACTGGGATGCTGTGAAATGCCTGTTTCCCTCCTCCAGGGCTCAGCACCCCCCACTCCAGCAGCCAGGGGGCTGCCTGGATACTACTAACTCTTAAGAACCCCTGTATCCTACCCTCCCTAGCCTCCTTGGCCACCCTCCACCCTTCCATAGAGCTCTCACCCCCTCTTCACACTCCGGAGTGGCTGTTATAGCCTTTGGCAACAAGGGCCTTGGCAACCGGCTTCCCACTTGGGGAAAGCCACATTGTTGCCATAGCAACAGAGGCCGAGGCAGAGCTTAGCGGCTGCCAGGCAGTGCAAGTTTAGGAAGGGATGGTGGGGCGCCGCTGGGGGGGTGGAAGGCATGAACAAGAGTGGTATTGGTCATGTTCAGACCCCCCACAGCCTGCCTCCTGTCAATCTATGGAAGGGTGGCAGAGTTAAGATTCTTGCTACTGATAAGAGGAGAGGGTATTCTGGGACCTGAACTGAGCCCAGTTGTGGGGAGCAAAAAGAAACTCTTGCTTTCCATTTCTGCCACAACTAGGGCTCTGGGACCCCCTTAGGAGACTCAGTGATTACCCTGCTGTGAGTGAATGGAGGAAGTCTCGCTGTAGTACCCAACAGGGGGCCGGGAATGCTGGCTGAGAGTGGAGGACATGTGCCCCAAAACATGCAGCTTGCTGAAGAGAGAAGCGCCTTTGCCTTTTTCCTTGTTTCCTGTCCCTGTTTCCTTCCCTGATTTCACAACTGCTTTGCTGGGGTGCTTCTCCTTCACTTTTTAGATTCCCTAGTGAAAGGTATTGTCAAGTGCTTTCTCCAGTGAAACAGGTCAGTCATAATGGAGAATTGCCCCCCACCTGTGCTCCGACTTAGCCCATTTTGCTTGGTGGCCCACAGAGGAATAACTTAGTTTGAGGACTTTAAAATCAAGACCTGAGGGCCTCCCTGGTGGTGCAAGGGGTTAAGCACTGCATTGTGAAGCAATCCACAGCCTCTGCAACATGAGTTCGATCCCCGGCTGGCCAGAGAGCAACCCACGTGGCATAGCAGACCTCTCCTGTCTCACCTGCTGCTCTCCTCAGCAGTGTATTTCGTCAGTCTGCCTGTTCTATTCCCCACTCTGTCTCTGGTGAATTCTCTCACCCCCCACATCTCTGGCCTGTACCCCAGTTCTCATATGCATAAATAAATAAATGTTTAAAAAAAATAATATCTAGACCTTGGGAGCCCCAGGATTGATTTTTACATTATTGACTAGAATGCATGCAAAATAGGAATGGGGAACATCTATTCCACTAGGGTCTTCTAGTGGAGAGTCCGTCTGCCTGCCCTCCTGAATTACATCTGTGCCCTTCTGCTGTATCCCTGGCCCCACCTAGTGGACTCTTCAAGTACTGCTGTTTACTTTGGGGTGCGTGGAAGGTGTTGACACACCTCTTCCTGAGTACTTGGCTGTTTCAGTTAAGGAAAAAAAACAAGATTTCTGGTTCTTGGTTCTGATGATTTGATCAAGCAGGTCCCCTAGCTGCCAGGCTTCCTGTTGGAGTATTAGGAACTGAGGATACTTGCACCAAATCAGATAATTATTCTAAATGTTCAGATATCTGACCTCTGAAAGCTGGGCCTTCCACACTCCACCCAAATATGCAGCCAATCTGTACCTGGAATCCCTAGATTTTTTTGTACTAGTCAGGTTCTCCAGAAGAGCAGAACCGTGTGTGTGTGTGTGTGTGTGTGTGTGTGTGAGAGAGAGAGAGAGAGAGAGAGAGAGAGAGAGAGAGAGAGAGAAGAGGGGAGGGAGGGGAGTCCAAGAGGATCTGTAGTCAGCAAGCTGGGCCTCTGGAGAACTGATATCTGAAACCAGCAGGCTCGAGACCCAAGAAGAGCCCATGTCTCAGTCCAAGTCTGAAGGCCAGAAAAGAAAAAGGAAAAAAAGCCCTAGCTCAACAGTCAGTCTTTCTGTGCTAGTTGTGTCTTCAAGTGTGAGGGAGGGCAGTCTGCTTTCCTCAGTCCACTGATTCACATGATAATCTCACCCAGAAATGTCCTCACCGGCACACTCAGAATAATGTTTAACCAAATTTCTGGGCATACTGCGACCCAGTCAAGTTGACAAATTAATATTCACACTTACTCTTCTAAGAGAATGGAAGGACCATGCACTTTGTTTTTATTTTTTTTTTAAGATTTATTTTTATTTATTTATTTATTTTGTTTGTTTGTTTGTTTATACAAGCACTGGGTACAGTCAGAAGCACGGGAGGGTGAGAGAATTCACCAGAGCCAGAGTGGGGAGCAGAGCAGGCAGAAGGACCGAAGCACACTGCTGAGGGGAGCAGCGGGCGGCAGGAGAGGTCTGTGCGCCATGTGGGACCCTCCTCCGGTGGCCGGGGAGCAGCCGGGGATTGAACCGGCGCTGCAGAGGCTGCGGGCAGCTTCGCAACCCAGCGCTCAACTGCTGCGTCACCGGGGAGGCCCAGGACCATGCACTTTGGATAGGTGGGCATTTCCTACTTTAGCTGGGAGATGCTGAGTGAGTGTCATAGCCCCTCTGAGCCTCAGTTTTCTCATCTCTAAATAGAACTGCCTAGAGGGTATTGAAAGGATAGAATGTGATAGCACAGGTGAGGTCTGAAGCATTGGGCCTGGCTAGCTGTGGATGCTTAGTCCTTGGCAACCAGGACCCACAAAACTTTTCTCATCAGTCTTGAGTGGAGTGGAGAGCCAAAAGCATTGCCAGGACCTGGTCTAATGAATATTTGCTATATAATGACTGAATCTGCTTTTGCAACCTGGTTTTTGTGGTGGGATCATTCCTACCAGATGTGATAGCCCTTACGAAGTCAGGTCTCTATGATGTTGGCAAGACGCATATTCCTCACTCCCCAACATGTCCCCTGGAGCTATGCAGCTCACAAAGGTATCAGGATAACACCTGAATGTCACCCTGACAAGGGTCATACTTGTCCCAGACCCATCATTTTCCTCAAACCAGCAGAGCAGAGCACCCTAGCAAGGCCAGAGCCATAGACCACTGGTGGCTCAATTCAACTGAGAGCACCTGGATTCACCTTGGGAAGGAAGGCTGGGGATGCTCCATCTCAGCTGACAAGTGGGGACACAGGTTCTTCTGCCAAGACCATGGAAAGCTGCTCTCCACAAGCCAGACTCTCCTCTGTCTCCCCTCTCAGGAAGTACAGTCAAAAGGCCCCACAAATCAGAGAGAAGATCTGTTCTGTCTCAGCTGGGGTACAGGCCAGAGGTGCGGGGAGTGAGAGGATTCACCAGAGACAGAGTGGGGAACAGAACAGGCAGATTGAATGAAATACACTGCTGAGGGGAGCAGCGAGCGAGTCAGGAGAGGTCTGCTGTGCCATGTGGGTAACTCCCTGGCCAGGGATAGAACTCGTGCTGCAGAGGCTGCGAATTGCTTCATAGTGCTGTGCTTAACCCCTTGTGCCACCAGGGAGGCCCTCAGCTCTATAATTTTTTAGCTGTGTGACCAGAGGGATGCCACTTACCCTCTCTAAACTCCAGTTTGCTCTGTAAAAATACTGAGAATTTCTTCTCTCTCTCTTTCTCTCTCTCTCTCTCTCTCTCTTCTCTCTCTCTCTCTCTCTCTGCACCCCCCGCCACACACAAACACCATTGTAAAGACTGCATGCATGTTGGCATGGATTTCTCAATGTCTAATCCTACTGTCGTACATAGGTTGTCTCACTTAAGACGTGCCGCAACTGTGAGGTAGGCACCGTTATTGTCTTCATTTTACAGTTGAGGAAACTGAGCCTCGGAGAGGTGACATCATTTGCTCAAGAGCAAATGGGGCTCTTGTGGGGCCAGAGATTTATTTAAACTCAGGTCCTTCTGATATTGGAGGCTGTGCCTTTGACCAGGCCCACTTGGATATCACCTCCCTGCTGAAGCTTTTATAGACCATCGCTGAGCCCTTTGCTGTCTGGGAAGTGTCCACAGTGACTCATGGAGCACATCTGCCTCGAGAGAGCAGCACCCCCAGTCCTCATCTCTGTGAACTCTGTCAGTAGTTCTGGAGCACCTAAGGATGCTCCCCTGGTGTCTGTGGCACTGAGCCAAGTGGCCCTAGGATGGCCGGGGAGGAGGAGAGGCCAAATGCAGT